TTGCTTTGTAAAGTATATGCGTGGACACAGTGGGTTCCGCCCCTCCCTACGGGGGGGGGGGCTCTACTTCTAAAAGATATAACCTAACTCAAACCTTTCAGTTTCAAAAATAAAGTTGGGTTGGGTTAAGTTAGAATTTTTTCGGGGTTGGGGTGCGGGGGGTTGGGCGGAGCAGACCCGTTCTGAGTAGACCCAGTGAGCCCGCAATTTCAGACACTCTCTCCAACAACGCCGTAAAAAATCTTTAAAGAATAAAATGCGGAATTTTTATTCAAAAGATTATACTTTTGATAAGCGCACCGATGTTTTTTTTTGAAATAATGAGCAGATTATATCTTCAATAAATAATTAATTCAACATAGTAATATTTTATTTTTGAACACTCTATATAATAACTTGCATGTTTATTTAAGTGTATGTGTGTAGTATGAGTAAGACTATTTCTATAAACTAAGTCCAATATCAAGTTTTTCATTGTCACACTACGTACAAATCTTGATTTTTACAAATCTTTGTTTGTTAATAACTTTTTAATGAGCAACGAGCGACGACTATAACCTTTTGGGAATTGCTCAGGGCGATGACCTTGACAAAATATGTCAAGGTCAAGGTCATTGGGGCTGAGTCCCCTTTTCGGTATATTTACCTTTTTTAAGTAGCAACAACTATAATAAAATTTATTGAAGGAATATACTTTACATTGTTATACTTATATTGTTCCTTCAGAAGCTGCAAAATAATATTATATTATTACAAAATATAATTATATCAACTGCAAAAATATCAATAGATTATCTACTGTTATGTGGAAGACAACTCGTGCATGCAAAATTTATTTGCGGAATAAATTGTTCTTTTGAAAACAGCAGCGGCTGTAGGCAAGATATGTTTATATGGAATATATTGTTCCTTTAAAAACAGCGACAATTATATATAGAATATGTTTATGGAATAGATTATTTCTTTAGAAGGAACAAAGATTGTACGCAAGATTTATTTATAATAGAATTTATAATAGAATTGATTATTTATAATATAATGGAATAGATTTTCTTTTTTTTATCAAGTATATTTCTGAGGGAAATGCAACTGCATTAGTGATAATAAATAAATACTATTTTGATGTGATATAAAAAGTAAAGTGGAGTAATTACTTGTGATCCAACTATCCTAGAAATGCTGTCATCCAAAAGAAACTTATAGCTTAATTTTTTTGTAAGCAAACTTTCTGTCACTTATTTAAATTAGTTTCATAATTTTGAACTACATACGTTTATTAAAACAATTTTAAATTGCACCACGCATTTATTAAAAAAAGTACAATTATATTAAATATGACTTTATGGCTTTACATATATATTTTGAATTAATATATATTTTGCACAATATATAGATCCTTCACACAAAAAGATTTGTAATTTATATATTTGAAATATATTAATTGAGAGAAGAAAGAGGGAAGATATATATATGGTGTGTATATATATGTATATACATATTATATATATATATATATCACACTATCCTCCTCGAAGATAAATCACACAGTTTTCCTTCCGCAGCCAGCAGCTCACCGATGAGAGTTATTCTTCTCTCACGAAAACAAAAGTATGTCACTTGAGGAAGTAGCCGCGCGATCAAACCGTCACTTATTCCGATGAAGGAACGCGATCCGAGTTACCGTTTTGCGCGCCGCGGATGGTCTTTCTTCCCGAATTGGCGATGAGAGGGTCGCGACGACGCGCAGAGGGAAAAGGCAATCGCCCGAGGCAATAAAAATATTGGCGATACGTCACGAATCCATGCACGTATACACGCGTGTATGTATATATGTATATATATATATATGCAGGATGTTAAAAAAAAAGGGTTACATATTTTGAGAGCAGATAGTATTGATCAAAACAAGAAAAAAAGTCTAATTAACATAAGTCCTACAATTAATATCTTACAATATAACACAATATATTTATAATAAATGGTATCTAGGTGTCTATCTCTATTAAGCTAGCAGGACCAAATCAGCAGAATCAAACTGGACCTATCAGATTATTTAATACCCATTTTGTACTAATTTATACCACTAATAATAATTTTGTACTTTGTGCCATTTCCAAAAGGCTGTGGTCCTGCTATTTTCAAATTAAGCTAACAGGATCAAACGAAAAGATAAAAATAAGATCAGAAATCGAAAGGGCTGGATTTGTACTAATTTGTATCACCCAAATAAACTTAATATATGTATCTCTTCTGCTTAAAACAATCCTCAATTGAACTCAGCCCTATTAAGCTCAAGAGTAAAATACTCTTTCCTATCAGCAGAATCAATCGCTACTTGTACACACGTCGCGGCATAATTTGTACCGTCAAAACGTAAAATTTTAGTTTTTGAAAGGTACTTTACTCTTAAGACTGATAAGGATCGGAGGTAGTTTTTGAAGGAACGGCGGGGGTACAAAATCTGAAATTTTATATTTTGACGGTACAAATCATGCTGCATCGAGTGTACAAGTAGTGATTGGTTCTGCTGATAGGAAAGAGAAACTTTACTCTTGAGCTTAATATGATTGAGTTCAATTGGTTGTTTTAAGCAGAAGGGATAAATATATTAAATTTATTTGGGTGATACAAATTAGTACAAATCCAGCCCTTTCGTTTTCTAGTTTTATTTTTATCTTTTTGTTTTGCTTTAGTTTGGTTCTGCTAGCTTAATTTGAAGGTAGCAGCGCCATGGTTTTTTTGGAAATGGCACGAGGTACAAAATTATTATTAGTGGTACAAATTAGTACAAAATGGATACTAAATAATCTGATAGATCCAGTTTGATTCTGCTGATTTGGTCCTGCTAGTTTAATAAAGGTTGTCTAAATGCCTTTATCTTAACATTTACATGTTTACATTAAACTGATTTACATCTGTGTACACACACATACGATACATAAAAGTTATCTCACAATTACCGGATGTTCTTTTAATAACAGATTTTATGGCCAATTTGGAGACGATTTTTCCTCAACAAGCATATCGAGAGATTATTATTTCTTGCAAATTTCTGTTTTTTGCCATTATATACGTTTGTATAATTAAGCCTTAAATTAAAATTTTCTCTCTATTAAAGTAAATTCGAATGTAGTTTTGTTAATCTTTTAACTGTTCACAGAGTTTAGTTTATGAAAATTCTTTCTTTTTCAATTGCTTATAACTCGGAAATTATTGATGCTTCGACATTTTCGTTGAAGGAAAATCGCCCCCAAATTGATCAAAAAAATCTGTTATTAAAGAGACATCCAGTACTTTTGGAATATCTTGGACACACGCATACATACAGACCACTCTGTATACGTCTCTCAGGAAAATAGTATTAAATTTTTAAAATTTTTCTTAACAAGTACATCAAAATATAAATAGTTTTGATCTATAAGCAATAAAAAAAGCGGGCTTTTGACTCTATCATACTTGATAAATGCTAATAAATCATGAAATCTTATTTTTTGCTAATTTTAAATATACTTTAGTTGATTAGAATCTCTCTAGATTTAAAGCATAGTTATCAAGATATATATTTTCAAAACTTAAAAAACTATGAAAAAAGATATTTTGATTAATTAAATTTAGGTAAAGGAAAAAATATAAATTAATTTGGTTTCTGATAAGAGTATTTTGTTAACCAAAAAGGGGCATTGTTATTAAATTTTTAATATATAAAGCGGACTTCTTTTTTAGAACCTCAAGAATACAGATCCGGATTTTTGTGTCGTTTTTACATCTAATCAATATTAAACACAAGTGACTTAATTATTTCTATTTATGTATGCCACGTACATATCGTTTATCGTCATTCTTCACATGTATCCGATACGTTAAGTTAGATCCGGGAGTGGGGAATGACGAAGTGAATGAAGGTTGTCGAGAAATTCGTCGCGATATGTAATGCCGGTTTAGTTTTGGTTTTGAAATCAGTCAATGCTAAATTGTTGAATACGAGAAGTATCTGAAGCTTATGAATTTTACAGCTTTTACACCTGTAACATTAGCAGGTTGTTGTAGCGGTGAAACAAGCAATTCTGATAACCACTATGTCTCTTTCTGTCTTTTTCCCTCTTGCTCTCACGTCTCTCTACTTTCACCTGGAACTCCGCAAATGGTTACATCCGCCAACCTGAGAGAGCTATGCCCTATTTACGCTAATTTATTGAACTGGAGACGAGCCGCGCGCGCGCGCGCGCGAATTTTCTTATGCAGCTATTTCGTCAAGTATTTTAGCGGCAATATTACACAGAATCTAAAAAAAATACTGGTTAGATGGAAATAGGAATCGGATAATAGGTATTGGATGAATTTAAAGTCAAACTTTATTTGAAAAAATATAATGCTATTATTTGTTTCTTACTTTTATTTTTAATACCTTTTTATTCTTTGTTTTTTTTTAATTTATAATGTTTATAGTCAAAATGCAAAATGGCAATTATAGATATTATTAGCTCTTAAAGGAAAATTCAAATTTACATTAAACATTTTTTAAAATTGATTACTTTAATCGCAAACTTTTTCTTATAACTTTATAGTATTATATTTTGCAATCCAGAAAGAATAAAAATTTTTTAAAATTAAATTTTTTCTATAATGTTCATAATTATTTGTAATTTAAAATAAAATTTGATGTGGAATTTGAATAGTTCTTTAGAAACGAAGATATTCATGTTAGCTATTTTATGAAAATTTTTTTATAGCTTTCTTATAACTTCAACTTCAATTTTCTGCAAATAGTGACGAATAGAACATTTTAGAGGCTAGACTTATAATCAGGATTTTAAAAACTACATCATGGGAAATGATTATTTTTATTCTTATTTTTGAAAAGAGATTGCCTTTTGTTGAACTATATAATTGGCATTGGGAAAATGGATAATAATGAGAACAACGTAAAGAGTAATGAGGGCACGATTAAATAACGGAACGGTGAAGGAAACAGTATCGCCACAAATAGAGTACGGATAAGTTCTTATTGCTTATCGGTATGTATATGTTGGTAATATACAATTTATTTATTTCCGTGTTTATAGCTTTTATTGACATTTAGGCACTTTAAAGTAAATATCACAGACTTCTATATATCAAGAGACACTATAGTATCTCACGCCAAGTCTCGCGAAACAAAACTCAAGCGCCGCAACGGCGAGACGCACCGTATAGAGTATCGCAGAATAATGCAACAAGAAAAAAAGTGATAAAAAGATTAAGGTAAAGTGATAAGAAATTATTCAGTTATAAATTATAAGAGTATCACAGAATAGTGCAAGGAAGAAAAGTGATTTCTTCTAATCGATGTCATTTTGGACAAAATTAGGTTATGTTATGGTTATCGAGAACAAATTGATAAGAATTTATTTTGTAAATTAATTTTTTTTTTTTTTTATAATATGAATTGGATGAATTAAAATCGGAAAATGAATATAATGAATCTGATATCTCCTCTGAGGGTAACACGAATTTGGACGAATTGGTGCAATCGGGCTTTAATATTTTAGTAGTATAAATATTCTTTCTCATTAAATTTTTAATATTTTATATGCATTGCATTGTTTCCCAAAGTATATATTATAGTACAAGATCTAATTTCTTTTTAAGCATTGAATTATTTTATATAATGCCTGTTTTTTTATGCAGTGGAGTAACCTATGTGAAATTGGCACCCCACTTTTAATAAATAAAGTTTTCAATACAGAAAATGATAGTATTTCGTTTGTAGTTGTTTGTAGTAAAAATATTTTCGTTTGTAGTTTGATCCATAAATAAATAAAAATTTTTTTAAAAATGACTGTCACCCGACTTAAGATATCTCAAATCCGCTTTTGCCATTCGTTTTAGAATCGTTTGTAGTTGTTTGTAGTGATTTTGCTTTTGTTTGTAGTTGAATAGTTTAAAAGTTACAACATATTTGCAATAAACAAATAACGTAACTTTGTCAATTTTAAAGATATCTCGAATCCGTTTTTGCCATGTGTTTTAGAATCTTTTGTAGTTGTTTGTAGTGATTTTGCTTTCGTTTGTAGTTGAATAGTTTAAAAGTTACAACGTATTTGCGATAAACAAATAACATAACTTTTAAACTATTCAACTACAAACGAAAGCAAAATCACTACAAACAACTACAAAAGATTCTAAAACACATGGCAAAAACGGATTCGAGATATCTTTAAAATTGACAAAGTTATGTTATTTGTTTATCGCAAATACGTTGTAACTTTTAAACTATTCAACTACAAACGAAAGCAAAATCACTACAAACAACTACAAAAGATTCTAAAACACATGGCAAAAACGGATTCGAGATATCTTTAAAATTGACAAAGTTACGTTATTTGTTTATCGCAAATATGTTGTAACTTTTAAACTATTCAACTACAAACGAAAACAAAATCACTACAAACAACTACAAAAGATTCTAAAACACATGGCAAAAACGGATTCGAGATATCTTTAAAATTGACAAAGTTACGTTATTTGTTTATCGCAAATATGTTGTAACTTTTAAACTATTCAACTACAAACGAAAGAAAAATCACTACAAACAACTACAAACGATTCTAAAACGAATGGCCAAAGCGGATTTGAGATATCTTTAAAACTGACAAAGTTACGTTATTTGTTTATCGCAAATATGTTGTAACTTTTAAACTATTCAACTACAAACGAAAGAAAAATCACTACAAACAACTACAAACGATTCTAAAACGAATGGCCAAAGCGGATTTGAGATATCTTTAAAACTGACAAAGTTACGTTATTTGTTTATCGCAAATATGTTGTAACTTTTAAACTATTCAACTACAAACGAAAGAAAAATCACTACAAACAACTACAAACGATTCTAAAACGAATGGCGAAAGCGGATTTGAGATATCTTTAAAACTGACAAAGTTACGTTATTTGTTTATCGCAAATATGTTGTAACTTTTAAACTATTCTCTCTCTCTCTCTCTCTCTCTCTTGCTTATTCTTCCTCTTTTTTAATTTTAAATAAACCATCCTTTTTTTACATTCGCTCTTTCATTCTGTCTTTCCCTCTCTCTCTTTAAATTAAATAAAATAGATAATATTAATAATTTTTAATAATATTTCGTAATAATATTTAACAATATATTTAATAATACTGAACAAAATTATTACCTGATATTATATTTATTACCTGATATTATATTCTCCACCTTTTTGCTTTCTCATAGAGGAAGTTTTGTTTTCGTGACAAAATTTTTTTTCGAGTTTTCTATGCCAATGTGTTTAGAATGTTCCAAAACGTCGAAAAATCATATTCCTAAAAAATGTCTGTGTGTGTGTGTGCGCGTGCGTGTGTGTGTGTGTGTGCGCGCGTGCGTGTGTGTGTGCGTGTGTGTGTGCGTGTGCGTGCGCGTGTGTGTGTGTGTGTACGCGATATTTTGTACAACCTCTAACTTCCGCAATTTTTGAGATATCGGGTTAAATTTTTTTTACATGGATAGAGTATTATTCAAAGATGGTTGGTATTGAATTTGGTGAGAATCGATGAAAAGATTTATTTTTTATAAAATTTTTAATTTTTTGAGAAATGTCTGTATACATTGTAACTTTCGCAAATTTTGAGATATCAGGTTAAATTTTTTTAGATGGATAAAATATTATTAAAGGATAGTTACTACTGAATTTGGTGAGTATCGATGAAAGGGTTTATTTTTTATAAAATTTTGAATTTTTTGAAAAATGTCTTTACACGCTGTAACTTTCAGAAAATTTGAGATATCGGATTAAATTTTTTTTACATGAATAGAGTATTATTAAAGGATGTTTGATATTGAATTTAGTGAGGATCGGTGAAAGAAATCATTTTAATTTTTATTTCGCTTACAAAGCTTCCTCTATGAGGAAGCAAAAGTTGAAAAATCCGCATGTTTAAAGCAGCTTAAGCATTGTAAGATAAAATGATGAGGAAGCAATGTGCAAGTTTCTAATTTGCACAACTCTACTTGTTTTTCCTTTATTTTCATGTTATTTATATTCATATTATAATCATCCTGTTCTTCCATATCAGATATATTCTCGCATCTTAAGACTCCTGTTGCGGATCAGCTTCTTCATTGCTGTCTAATTTATCCTCACTTTGTTCTAATGTACTTTCAATCTCTTCATCTTCCATATTTTCTGCAGAATTTTTGTTGATTAAACTTTATAATATTATTTTATAATATTAATAAATCTATATTATTTATAGAACATATAGAGTTAAAATAAAAACACTTTTCTGTTAAAATACTTTTACAATATTATTGATTGATTTATTTGCGCTCTACATAGGACGCTGGCTCCAATTGCCAATTTCTAACTTTATTTTATTACTTTTAAAATACTTTTGATAATACAAACTCAAGCTGTTGATTAAGCCTATTAGAAACTTGATTGCTTTACATGTTATTAAAATAATATATAGTAAAAAGGAATGATATAATCCTTAAAAACTTACCTTTTTTAAAAAAGGTAAAAAAAAGGCGGCCAGTACAGTTGTGAAAAACTGTTATATGTATTTATAAAATAGTGTTATTTTAATTTAATCTGCATAAAAGTGTTATTTTAAATTATTGAAAATAAAAACTTATAAAAATATTTTGACAAAAAAGTTGTACAAATATATCTTACAAAAATAATGATATAAAAAATTGCGCCAACTGAAAATAAAAAAATTATAGAAATTTTTAAACCGGAAACAGTTGTACAAAATAGCTGTTTTAATTTCTTAATAAAAATAATGATATTAAAAAATTGCGCTAATACTAAATAAAAATTTATGTTATATAAATAAAAGTTATTGATTTCCAATATTAAAGGAAAAAATATATCCAATAATACAAAACACAAAATATATAAAATAAAAAATAATTAATTTTTAATTTTTGTATAAATTTTTAATTTTTTGTATTAATTTTTTAGTATTAATTTTGTATTAATTTCTACTACAAACGAAATACTATCATTTTCTGTATTGAAAACTTTATTTATTAAAAGTGGGGTGCCAACTTCACATAGGTAGTGGAGTATTTTACATTAAAATTTCAAACAATAAACATAATATTTGTTTTTTTTCGATACATTGGAATATTTATTTAAATGTTTTTTTTTTACGCACTAGAGTATTTTACATTAATATCTGTTACTTTTCTACGCACTGAAATATTTTGCATTAATTTCTATACGCTGGACTATTAATGCCAATTTTTTTTACGCATTACATTTTTACTTTATACACTCTAGTTTTGTTATGCATTAAATTAATATTTTAATTATAATAATATTTTAATACGCATTGGAGTATTAATGCCTTTTTTTCTATGCATTATTTAATTTTTTGTATTAATTTTTTAGTATTAATTTTGTATTAATTTCTAAGTTTTAATTTTTCTATTAATTTTTTATTTTATGTATTTTGTGTTTCGTATTATTGGATATATTTTTTTCTTTTGATATTGGAAATCAATAAATTTTATTTCTATAACAAATTTTTATTTAGAATTAGCGCAATTTTTTAATATCATTATTTTTATTAAAAAATTAAAATAGCTATTTTGTACAACTGTTTCCGGTTAAAAAATTTGTATAATTTTTTATTTTTGGTTGATGCAATTTTTTATATCATTATTTTTGTAAGATATATTTGTACAACTTTTTTGGTTAAAATATTTTTATAAGTTTTTATTTTCAATAATTTAAAATAATACTATTTTGTGCAGATTAAATTAAAGTAACACTATTGTATAAATACATATAACAGTTTTTCACAACTGACGCGTGTACTTGGCGCCTTTTTTTACCTTTTTTTATATAAGAACATGTGAAGTCAGGGCAGTCATTTACAATTGGGCAGTATATCGATATGAATTCGATATTCGATCGATTCATGTCATTTAAACGTCATTCATTCATTTTTTAAACGTATACGTTTAAAACATTTTAAAAAGTAAAAATAAACTAAAAATACTAAGTGTATATA